CATACATCACAAGATTATAGAACATACATCACAAAATGTTGAATATGCATCACAACATTTTAAACATACATCAAAAGATTATAGAATATACAAGATTTTGCATATAGTCTGGTCCTGATTTTTAAAAAGAAGGCTAGAAATAACTTCTAACGGCAAATAATTATAAATTGATCCAGCATAGTTTTTTCACCTATTTCGAGTATGCTGAATCCGAAAAAATATGCTGGCCATCATGAAATGGCGTTAAAGAGGTCAAAATGGCGATTCAAAATGGCGGACATCCAATTTTTTCAATATTCTCTTAATGTTGTTCAAAATGGAGAAGTAATGAGTGAATATCTAACTAAGTGTAATAAAACTATAAAATTTATAATAGGATGCTAACATTATTAGTTAAACTCAGAAAATGTAGTCGTTTTTATGCTTAATTCGAATTTTCTCTGACTTTTTTTTGTCTATAGTTTCTATATTCTTCTTTGTTAAGGATTTTACATTTACAAATATCCATACACAACAGATTTGTATTTGCCCCTCTACATCTCACTATTCTACAATTGAATGATAGTGCAGCTGTTAGTTAAAAGTCAAAATGGCGATTCATAATGGCGGATTTTCAAATTATTGAATTCTTAATGTCGGTTACATAGGAGAAAGGATTTTTGAATATTTTACTGAGCGTAGTACAACTATGTAAAATGACAATAGAACACTAATTTGATCAGTTTAAATCGGAAAATTTAGTCATTAAATTTGAAATGTGTTAAATAGCTCAAAATGGAAAACTCAAATGACGTCTTATATACTCGAATTTCGTAATTATACTGAGTACTCAAACTGCTTAATTCTGGTTCGTTTTGCAGAAAATAAATTACAGTTTGAATTGGTTTTCTTATTCATGAAATAATGTTCAAATATGCAATGGAAGTTGGAGGATATTTTTGTTAATGACTTAGAATTTTTATAACACGAATTTTAAATTTGTTTAATTACTTCTATTTGATCACAATTCCGAAGACATTTTACCTTTTACCTGTCTCACCATGCATCTTCATATAAAAAGTTAATAATATCATACAATAATTGCTGTTTTGAAGACAATATGAAAATTAAGCTACCCGAAGATCAGTATCCCTCGAGCATTAAGTCGAGTGAACATTCAGTTGTTGGCAATTCTTGATCTATTTTTAGTCCAGTGTAGAAAAAAAATAAATGTTTATGTTCATGTGGAAGGTCTAGTGCAACATAACTGAGTATGATTTTTAAAATAATTGACCACGACCAATTATAGGGCTAGTAATTGTTACCTCATATGAATCTGAATATATTATAATATCCAAATAAAAACATATATATTAAGAATTGTCAGTATAATATACGTAAACCATAAATTTTCTGGATTGTCCAGCTCTGATTCTGTGTCCCTACATTTGCATTTTGTTATTCTCATTCAAAAATTCAAATGATTCTCAAATATATCATGCTGTGAAAGGATATTTTTGTATTTAACAGTGTATATAAATTTTTAAAAAAATTGAAATTAACAAAATCTGAAAGAAGAAAATGTTTGTGTTCAATCCCCCCCCCCTCGATCTTGATACAACCTTACATTATCCTAACAAAGAAATATGGATCAAGTTGCCTTGTAAAGTTCTTCAAGTGTTCAAGAAATTTTTGTTGTCAAGAGAAGTTTGACTAGATCCAAATCAGGAATGGCTTAGGCCTATTAGTACGAATGCTTGTAAGTGATAGGAATTACGAGAAATCTACAGGCGCTCTTAAATTGCATAACTTTTTTCACCAAAATATGTTCACAATGTGATTTCAGATGATCAAGTTTCAGAATTTTCTTGCTAATAGAATGACCTTTCTACCCAAAAAGACAACAAATGTATACGAGGTCACAAATTAAAGAGCTACATATCTTGAATATCAGAGATTTTTTTTATATCCCCCGCTTGAAAAGCGGGAGGGTATAGAGTAATCGGTATGTCCATCCGTCTGTTACGCTTTGGGGTACCCATCTCTTATCGCAACTCCTCTCATACCACTGAATAAAATCTGGTGCAACTTTCACAGAATCTTTATTACATATTGCCATTGTGACCTCCTATTTTACTTTTTGATCCGACACATGATTTGGGTTTCCCATATCAAAACATGGACACATTATATTCATATGGGAGACCAGGGTATCATCTGGTTAGCTAATTGCTCACAGTACCTCTAGTTCATTTCGCATAAAATTTTGGATAACAAAATAGACTTTAAGCATTTGAACATTTGAACATAAATGTGTTGTTCCTTGAGTGTTGATTGATTGATTGTATATTGTTTATCGCCGAGTCGGCAATTTTTCAGCCATGCTTCGTCAGACTATCAGTTTGAATAATAGGTTTTGAAGGATTTTTGGTTTCTCTGGCGGCCCCCAGTTACTCTTTTTTGAACTCCAGAAAAACGATCTTTTACATGCCAAGATGGTTGTCATCCTTGATACGGGGCACCATTTTACTTGAGTGTTGAAAATACCAAAATTCCGAAGACAGACTGAAACATATACCAAATAAACCTGGAATAGAATGTGAGGGGATAATAATAAGTTCTTATAAGTGCTAAAAAGCAAGAACAAAGTGTTTAGAAAGAAGTTCAAGTTTATAATTACAGGATCGGGATCGGGAGTGATTTTAGGTGGACGGGGCCTCAAAGGCTTTGAAACACGTACGGTCAAATACGAAGGGGGAAATTTGGAAACTCTTAAGTCGTTTTCAAGTATTTTTTGTTCATATTTAATGGACTTATCGATATGATACTATATATATAAAAAACAAACTGTAATTTTTTTTTTTTTTGCAAAACGAACCAGAATTAAGAGTTTCAACGAAATTCAAGTGTATCAGACGTCATTTTGAATAGCCATTTTGAGCTATTTAACACATTTCAAATTTGAAAGACCAATTTTCCAATTAAAGTGATCAAATTAGTGTTCTGTTGGTATTTTACATAGTTGTACTACGCTCAGTAATTCAAGATATTCACAAATCCTTTCTCCTATGTAAACGACATTAAGAAATAATTTTAGAAAAAGAGATGAATATCCGCCATTTTGAATCGCCATTTTGACTTTAACTTGCAGCTGTGCCATCATTCAGTAGTAGAATAGTGAAATGCAGAAGAAAAAAAATTGAAATACAAATCTGCAGTGTATGGGTATTTTCAAATGTCAAATCCTTAAAGTAATATACGCTATAACGTGCGCCATTTTAAAATACGGCTGGAAATTTATATATTTTGTTTACCAATAAAAATTACGAAAATGCTGTAAATTACACCATTTAAATAAAATTCGTTATAAAGTTATCAAATTATAATTATTTATTATCCTGCAAGGAGAATAATGTCTATTTTTAAGTAAATCCACCACGTGACGCCGTCGCTACTTTTAGATTGATAAACAAACATGGCGTCAAGAAAACGAGGTAAGCCCGTTGAGATACAACTCACTTTTGACATGGATGGCGTGTTACTATTAATATAACTTATCTTTAAATGTAATCAGTATCAACCATCTATACTCTGTTATGACGCATATTAACCTTTTATTAATAATCGTTGTCAAAATGCAACGTGCCTCGTTGTCTATAATTTCCCGTGGACATACGTGTCTATATTTAGACCTACTGTTTACGCACTTCCTTTATCAATATTCATGAAAAGACTGAATTCTTGATTGCAGATATTGCTTTATTGTTCTGTTATTACAACGAGTTTTATAGTTAAATTTTGTGGAAATATTATTTTTTCATTACACTTTATGTGTTTCAAATCATTTAATCATATTGTTTCACATACAAATCGGCATCCATACGGCGTATATTACTTTAATAAAGCGGAATATAGAACAATAGACCAAAAAATCAGAGAAAATTCGAATTATGTGTAGAAACGACTAAATTTTCTGATTTAAACTAATAATGTTAGCATTATATTCTCATTTTAACACTTATATTACACTCAGGGAGATATTCACACATTATTTCTCCTTTTTGAACGATATTTCAGAGAAAATTAGAAAAATTGGATGTCCGCCATTTTGAATCGCCATTTTGACCTCTTTAACGCCATTTTCATGAAGGCCAGCATATTTTTTTCGGATTCAGCATACTCGAAATATGTTAAAAATCTATGCTGGACCAAATAATAATTATTTGCCGTTAGAAGTATTTTTTTTCTCTATAAATCGGACCAGACTAATACAAAATGTACATATCACAATATTTTGAACATATATCACAAGATTTTGAACAAACATCACAAGATTTTGAACAAACATCACAAGATTTTGCATATATATCACAAGATTTTGCTTATTCATCACAAGATTATCGAATAAAGCAACTTTTTACTTGCCATTAAAGCCCCTATCCTATACTTTTTTCTGCCCAGTGACTTGTCACTTTCCACTGATTCTGGTTACTCTCCAGTAACTCATGTCACTCTCCATTAATTTCTGTCCAGTGACCATTGTTATTCTCTACTGAAAGAACACATGGCGGGTGACCGGTCAGCAGGAGATGCTCACTCCTCCATGGCACCTGATCCCACCTCTGATTTTCGGAGGTTCTTGTATTTTACTCGGCACAACAGGGCCATTGAGCATTGAGGGATCTTTTTCTTGCCAGCAATTAGTGCTACACGGGACCTCTGTTTAAAAAAGGTCTCATCCGAAGGACCGGTCTCCACGTCCCTCAGTGGAATTAACTCCTCACTTTGCAACTCCAGAGCAGACACTCTGACCACTGCACCACGCGGGCGACCATTATGTTTGATGAAAAAAAATTATACACATAGTAACAAGTGCTCTTTGATAAGTATGATATAGTAAATTGGAATGTTGTTCACTTTACATGTAGAAAAGCTCATTAAATCAACTCATGTACATTATTTATGATATTGAACTCTCCTCTGTTTACAGAATCACTCTAACTGCAAACTCTGATTTTTAGCATTACTTGGGCCAGTCCTTGTAAAACCACTACTAGGAGAGTTGAGTCATATCAGAAGAGGGAATGCACACGTTGGTTTTTGGGATGGTGGTAAGTGAAATTAGATGGTATAATATGAAAAAAGTATCAAGTGTCATACATATTTATTCATGTTAAACAACATAATAAAGGGTTCATTTTTAAAACAGAGTTAAATCACATTGTTTTTGGGTGTAAAAATGCATTCTACAAAAATTAACTTTTTTTCTTCAAAATACTTTAAAAAGATGATACTATGTTTGAAAATACCGCACCTAATAATTGATAAATTACCGTATAAGTGGAAATTTAAGCGAGACGCAAATATAGCGATTTCTACCTAAAATCTGGTATTTATTTTTAGTGAAAAGTAATTTTAGCGATTTTAAAATGCTTACTTAAAAAGCTTTTACAAATCAATTAATTTTTAGCGATATTTAATTTTAGCGATGTCAGCACCCTCGCTAATAATGCCAAAATTAAATCCTCGCTAACAATTCTACTTAAACGGTACTTTATAATTATTAAAATTGATTTCTGAGTGATAAATTATCTCAAGACACACTGATTGCAAATTTTTCAGACCAAATATCATAATTTATTATAAAAAAAATACTAGCAAATAAAAATGAATTAATTTTTGTGACATAATTTAAATTTGACCAAAGTGTCTAAGTAATTTTCTCATTATTAAACTCTGCTAAGAGAACTCTTGCAAATTTTTCTAATTGCAATTGTGACTAGACCAGTTTTTGTCACGAAAGGACAACTTGTCCAAAAAAATATTTTTACCATAGCTACAAAACTTAAGTATAAAGTTAAAACTTTTACAGTTTATAGATATATCATTGATTAACTGATAGAAAGTATCACTTTAAAACAAATATTTAAATAATTTTTTTTTTTAGAAATAATATATTCAGAAATGTGCACATTAAAAAATGCACCTGCTTATTCTGCACTTTTAGTGAAAAACCATCATTGAAGAAATAAATAAATACATGTTTATCAATGAAGGACAAGGGAAGTTAAATGGTCTCTGAAAGGCTATTACTGGAGGCATGAAATGTATAAAGACAAGACCCCTATAAATCCGCCATTTGCAATGTACTTTCAGTTTCATATCTTTACCAAAGACCAAAAAAAACCACAGGTAAAACAATTTTCCAGAGGCTATCGAAGTCCAACTTTCTGCAAAGATGTCTTTCACTAAAATTACGGAATTAAGTAGATGTGTTTAAAGAAATTATATGCATTATTCAAAAGATTTTTTTCTCAATAGATATTTTTTTAAAAGTACTTATTATCAAGTGTTACTTTCTGTATGTATATTAACAAACTAATTCCGAGAATTTGTGTCCCCCGCTTAGGGAAAAAGTAAACCATGTGCAGTTCGTGGAGGGGGGGGGGGGTGTCGGATCCCCCTGACTTAAGTTGAAAAATTATTAAATGTATACATGTATACTGAAGCAAATAAAATATGCCAATATGGATATGAAGATTTGATTGCTTATTCTTTATTTTGTGTATAGAAGATTCTTTTTATATTGAATATTTATCACACTATAATGATGATTTTATGAGTTTGTGCAAGCCAGACCTTTTATTTTTTTTATTTAATATGCTGAATACTATCATTTAGTAAAAAAAGTATTTCGGGGAAAAAAAGAAAATGGATCGTCCGGGATTTAAACCCGGGACCTCTCACATATAAAGCGAGAGACATACCACTACACCACGAAACCGCTTTTAACTTGCGAAAATTACATGCAAAGATGAAGTCACATACATGTATATATTCACGTTCGATATTGTCAAAATTTTACACAATGCATGGTGACTAATTTAACCTTTATTAAACAGTTTTAATAAATGTAATAAGAATATAAAGTCCGCCGAGAACCTGTTTTATACGTAATAACTCTCCTCATGCCCCTGAGCTAAAAATAGCGACATGTAATACAATAAATACTCATAAAACAAACGTGGCGGGACACTTTGAGAGGGGCGAGAGAGGTCCTAGGGATTTTTGGTATAAAATTACATTGCAAAAGCTGAAAATATTCTTGAAATATCACCCGGATAGGATAGTGTTACACACAGACAGGATGTATAAATTTACGACCTTGAACTTTGACCTTTTGACCTCAAAATCAATAGGGGTCTTCCTTAGGCTACAAAGAATCATGTAAAATTTTATTGCAAAAGCTCAAAGGGTTCCCGAGATATCGCGCGGAAACAAAAGTGTTATAACCGACAGAATTTGCGAATTTATGACCTTGACCTTTGACCTTTTGACCTCAAAATCAATAGGGTTCTTCTTTAGTCCATAGGGAGTTGCTATGCAAATTTCATTGTGAAAGCTCGTTCTCGAGATATCATGTGGAAACTAAAGCGTTACAGACAGAAAGAAAGACGGACGGACGGACTCAAATCAATATCCCCCACTTTACAAGCGGTGGACAATAAACTGAGAAAGTTTTAAATTCATCAACCACATAGTTCTAGTGCTATTGTAACAAGATGTGTTTGTGAAACACTGATGTCCCCGTATGGCAACAAAGCGAAGGTTAACCTTTCTCAAATGCAGATGAAATATGTTGGTACCTAAAGTAAGGCCTTTTCACAAGTAAATACAAATGTTAAATATATAAACCTAGCACCACCTGTTCAAGGGTTATGACCAAGGTTAACATTTTGAAAGGTAGAATAAACTCCGGGGTCGAGTTCAAAGGGTCGAAGTTTCTGGTTTCTAAAGAAAGGCCTTGTCTCAAAGATTACATATGGGAAGTATGAAAGCGCTGGCCCTTACCGTTCAAAAGTTATGGCAAATGTTAAAGTTCGTAAAAAGTTGGTCAAATTCCAAGGTCAAAGGGTCAAGTTTCTTGATATCAAAGGAAAGGGTCTTGTCACAAGAATTACATATGTGAAACATGAAAGCTCTAGCCCCTACTGTTCAAAAGTTATGGTCAATGCTAAAGTTTGTAAAAAGTAGGACAAACTCAAAGGTCAAGGTCAAAAAGTAAAATTGTTTGATATCGAATGAAAAGTCATCTCACAAAGATTACATATTTAAAGTATGAAGCCCTAGTCCTCACCGTTCAAAAGTTATGGCCAAGGATAAAGTTTTTTTTTGTAAGTTCGGAAATCTCCAAGCTCGAGGTCAAAAGCTCAAAATTATTGGTTTAATGGTTTCACATAAAAGGTCTTGCAAAAAGAATGGATATTTGAAATATAAAATTCCTAGTATCTACCGTTTAAAAATAAGGGCCATAAGAAAAGTTTTGAATTTTTTTGTAAAAATTGGTAAAACTCCAAGGTCAAATTTCAAAGTGTCAAGGTTCTGGATATTAAATGAAAGGTCTTATCACAAGGATTTAATATGTGAAGTAGGAAAGCCGTAGTTCTAACCCTTAAAAAAATATATTCAAAGTTGTATTTTAAAGGAGGTCAAACTCCAAGGTCAAGGTCAAAGGGTCTAGGTTCTTGGTACCCAACAAAGTGTCTTTTTTCAGGGATTAAATATGTGAAGCCATAGCACTTACCGTTCAAAATTTATAGCCAAGGTAAAGGTTTTTTTTATAAGTACAGTTGTCCAAGGTCAAAAGGTCAAAGTTGTTGGTATTTAATAAAAGGTATGTATACAAAAAATATATATGTCAAGTTTCAATGTCCTGTTATCTATTGTTCAATAGATAAGGCCAAAGTAAAATTTCAAATTTTTTTGTGTAAAAGCGGGTCAAACTCCAAGGTCAAAAGGTCAAATTTTGTGGTACCCAACAAAAGGTCTTGTCACAAAAAATACACATGTGAAATATAAATGCCATAGCTCCACTAAATCAAAAGTTATAGGCAAGGTTAAAGTTTTTGCGGACAAACAGACAGACAGACAGACAGGCAGGCAGACAGAGAGACAGACAGACGGACGGACACGACAAAAACTATATTCCCCCCGAAACTTCGTTTACGGGTACATTAAAATAAATTTTTGGACAAGTCGATCTTTGGTGAAACCTTAAAACTCTTTATTGACCAAGACTAATTTCCTGTAGTACCCAGTATACGTGGATCTGGAGATACAGGAAGACCTTCACCCAAACTTGTTGTCCTGGATACGGTGGAAGTAACTGTCAACGTAAGTATAGTAACAAATTGCTGTTCTTTAACAAATGACTGCAATACGTGGACTACATGTATATATGCATGGTTATATGTGTTTCTAACGACGAAATCCAAAGAAAAATTATCGATTTATTGAATTTTCATGTAGGTGTAATAAGACTTTTTTTTTTATCTTGAAATGTAAAATTTTCATCGTAATTAAAGTCTAAAATCTAGTTGCTAAATTAAATTGTAATAAAAAAAATGTGTATAATATAACCTTAAAGCTGAACATGAGTCATGACTATAAATATAGAGGATTAGGTCCTATGGACTTTTGCCAGGCGCACTGACTTTTACAGTTGACGGGAATTCTAATGATTCTTCTCTTCACTCGGGATTCAGTGAAAGCTTACATGGCTTATTTACCATGC